GTTCTGGCAGGTCAGTGCAAGCAAGTTTTGGCATACCCCTGGGTGGGACCCAGGATGAAAACATAGGAGTTTCTTGGTCCTTAAGTTCTGGGAGATGCAAGAAGAGAAAACAGTGGTGTTGAGAGGGAGGTTGGAAGATACTTACTAACCTGAAGCTCACTGAAAGCAGGTGGGTGCAGAGGAGGGAAGGCCTCTGAGCATGTGGACAAGGGTCCTTCTGATGGGCCACAGCTGAGGGGGTCAAGCCCTAAGAAAGCAAGTAGTCCCAGAGCAGAAAGGGACAGGAAGCCCTAACCTGCTGGTTTCCCTGTCTTGCTTGTGGCTAGGTTCTGTCCTTCTCCTTATAGAAATAGTTCCTGCTTGGAAGCCAAGGAAGGATCAGATTCTGCTGATCCACGAAGTCTGGTGGCTGAGGCCCTCACTGAAAGGAGAATTGAAAGGGCAAATGGTGCAGCTGCTATAGAAAACAGTTTGACAGTTCCTCAAAATGTTAAACATAGAATTACCATATGGTCCAGTGTGTTAAGCATGTCTTTTTTTTTAATTTTAATTTTTTTATTACTATGATGATGAAAAACATATGACATAAGATTTTCCATCTTTTTTTTCCATTATAGTTCACATTCAATATTATTCTGTATTAGTTTCAGGTGCACAACATAGTGGTTAGACAATCATATACTTTACAGCAAGCATGTCAAACTCAAAGGCTAACATGGGCCAAATAAACAAGGTTTAAGTTCATGTGGGTCACAAAAAAAAAACCCAAAGCTTCAATTTTCAGAGAAATGTAGGTTTATTTCGATAGAGACATGCTGAATACAAAGGGCTGAAATAAATGAGTAATCATTACCCTATCTAATAATATACAAAGATGCAAATTGACCGTACCCTCACTACGCCCACCATTGGCTAATCAGAGCGATATGCAAATTAACCGCCAACAAAGATGGTGGCTAATTTGCATATACTGGCTGGGAGTGAAGACTGAAGACACCATAGAAGGAAGCCAAGCAACGGAGCCGAGTAGCAGAGACAGGTGGGAGAGAAGCGACAGAGAAGGGCAGGGTAGGAATGGCAGGGAAGGGCAGGGTAGAATCAGCAAAGAAGGGCGGGGTAGGAGCGGCAGAGACAGGAGCGAAGCCCTATTCTTGCAGGAATCCTCCTGCAATGGGCATCTAGTCATAAAATAATAGAACATTTTAATAAAAATTAATATTTTTTTCTTGAACATTAACTTACCAGCCACTGAGTAAATGCACAAATTAAAAAACATAATGCAAATAAACCTATTTTTCTTGTTCTCCAAAAGTGAAATATTTCCTGTTGTGCACACCAAATAAGCCAGCCCAAGACTAATGACGTGGCAATCGGCTGCTAAAATATTTGCTGCTAGTATTAGTGGAAAGAAATAGTGCACCTGCATGTAAGGTACGTTATAGTAATCAGTCATTAGTGAATGTGTGAGCCACATCCCACATGGTTCAGGATTCGGGATCTGGAGAAGGGCCACGCGCAAATGACAGAGATGAAACAAGAAATAATATTTGGAAATATTGGGGGCCAGGCAGGAAGCTCAACACAAGGGGAAGGACTTCTACTGGTGCCCAGGCCTTGCCAACCTTTTATTCAATTTTGGATACACATATACCCCTTAGTCAGGCAGGCACTTCTGGTAACAGACAGACTATCTTCAAGGTCAGTAAATATTAGTAACATTTACTTTCAGACTATTTGGTCAGGAAATTGCTTGAGCCACCATTGTGCAATCGGTGCATAGCTCTGGCCCTTGCCAGGGCTCAAGGTTCACCAGCATTCCGGGCTCCTTGTTTACACTTCTCTGATAGTGAAGACAATGGGTAGCTTCCAACAAGTGAACATTGTAGTTTGTTATTAATAACTATGTATAACAGGATATTGTCAAAATTAAGCTACAAAATTTTTATTAAAACGTTTCTTACACAGTTATATTGTTTGGGCCACAAAAATATTCATTGTGGGCCGCATGCAGCCCACGGGCCACGAGTTTGACATGCTTGCTTTACACAGTGGCCCCCCTAATATTTCAAGTACCTGCCCTGGCCCATACATAGCTATTATAATATTATGCTTTTTCCTCCATTGACCTCTCTCCGGCCACTTCCAACCCCCAGCACATGCCCTCACCACCTGGTGACTGTGTCCATTGGTAATGCTTTTTAAAAAATATATACACTGAATGGCCAGATTATTATGACCACCCCATCAGTACTTTGTTGGGCCACCTTTTGCCTTCAATACTGCAGCGATTCTTCTTGGCATTGACTCCACAAGATGTTGAAAGGTGATGTGTGGAATCTGACACCATGCCTGATGAATAGCACTGTCCATTTCTGTGAGGTTTGATGGTTGTGGAGCCAGCTGCCTGATGGCTCTTTTAACTTCGTCCCACAAATGCTCAATTGGATTGAGATCTGGTGATTGTGGAGGCCACCTAAGCAAGGTAAAGTCTCCCTCATGTTCTTGAAACCACTCCTGCACAATACAAGCACTGTGGCATGGCGCATTGTCTTGTTGGAAGAAGCCATTTCCATTGGGATACGCCATCAACATGATAGGATGAACTTGATCAGCAACGATACTTAGGTATGTTGTGCTATTCAGACGTTGTTCCACACAAATTAAAAGGCCCAAATCATGCCAGGAAAACATGCCCCAAACCATAACACTGCCCCCACCAGCTTGAAGGGTTGTACTCATGCATGTGGGGTGCATGCTTTCATGCTGTTTCCGCCAAATTCTTACTCTGCCATCTGCATGATGCAACTGGAAACATGACTCATCGGACCACATGACTTTTTTCCAATGCTCGACTGTCCAATCCTTGTGTTCCTGTGTGAATTGGAGACATTTTATCTTGGTAACTGCAGACAGCAAAGGTGTTTGAACAGGCCTTTGGCTTCCATATCCCATACGATACAGTGTATGGCTAATTTGCCTACAAATGTCAGGTGGTCATAATAATCTGGCCACTCAGTGTATATATTTTATTGATTTTTTACAGAGAGGAAGGGAGAGGGATAGAAAGTTGGAAACATCGATCAGCTGCCTCCTGCACATTCCCCACTGGGGATGTGCCTGCAACCAAGGTACATGCTCTTGACCGGAATTGAACCTGGGACCCTTCAGTCTGCAGGCCGACGCTCTATCCACTGAGCCAAACCGCTCTATCCACTGAACCAAACCGTTTAGGGCTGGTAATGCTTATTTGCATGCATACAAGTCCTTTGGTTGATCTTTTACTCCTCACCCCCCCCCACCCCACCCACCTCCCCAGCCTTTCTTCCCTCTGAGGTTTGTCAGTTCGCTGCTTCTCTGTCTCTGAATCTATTTTTGTTCATCGGTTTATGTTGTTCACTTTATTCCACAAATGAGCGAGATCATGTGGTATTTATCTTTCTCCAATTAAGCATGTCTTTATCTTTTGTATTTTGATGATTCAACATCTGGGGCCTTGCTGACACTCAAGAGACATCCCCTCTCCCCCTCAGGGTTAGCTAATTCCTAGAAATAACAACTCACTGGTCTGTGAGTGGGCCTTTCACATGCAAACAAATCAACCCAGAGCCCACACCCCCCAACCACCTCCTTTATGGGCTCTCCACTCCAGGCCACTATCCACCCGCCCTAATCACTCCATGGCCAGGTGCCAACCAACTAGGGCAACCTTGCCAATTCTAACGCCGCTCACACTGCCTTGCCTATTCCACAGAAAGCCTAATAAAGGCTCTTGCCCACACCCCCCAACCACCTCCTTTATGGGCTCTCCACTCCAGGCCACTATCCACCCGCCCTAATCACTCCATGGCCAGGTGCCAACCAACTAGGGCAACCTTGCCAATTCTAACGCCGCTCACACTGCCTTGCCTATTCCACAGAAAGCCTAATAAAGGCTCTTGCCCACACCCCCCAACCACCTCCTTTATGGGCTCTCCACTCCAGGCCACTATCCACCCGCCCTAATCACTCCATGGCCAGGTGCCAACCAACTAGGGCAACCTTGCCAATGTTAACGCCGCTCACACTGCCTTGCCTATTCCACAGAAAGCCTAATAAAGGCTCTTGCCCACACTTTCCTCAGATCCCTGTGCCTCCTGATCGACTCTGGTGCTTCCTCATGCGGCCCTGCGTGACATGCTGTACCTCCTGGTTCTAGGGATCGATGAGCATAAACTACTTCCTTCATGACAGTGGTTTCCATGTCTGCATGCCTGATTAAAACAAATTCTGGATACCTTTAAAACACCCGGCAATTCTCCTTCTAGGAATATACCGCAAAGAATTGAGAGCAGGCACTTGAACTAATCCATGTAAGTACATGTTCACAGCAGCATTATTCATAATAGCAAAAACGTGTAAGCAATCCAAATGTCCATCAACAGAGGACTAGTTAAACAAATTGCTATATTGGCAAAATGAATTATATGAAGCAATGACATGGATGAACCTTGCAAACATTGTGCTAAGTGAAAGCAGCCTCAAAATGTTACATATTCTATGAAATATCCAGAAAACTAAATCCATAGAGACAGCAAGCAGATTAGTGGTTGCTAGGGGCTGGGGAAGGGAGGGACTGCTTAATGTGTGTGCAGATTTACTTTGGGGAGATGAAAATGTATTGAAACTAGACAGAGGTGGTGGTTGCACAACATTGTGAATGTACTAAATGCTGCTGAATTGTATGCTTTAAAATGCTTAATTTTATATTATGTCACTTTTACCTCAATTTGCTTAAAAAATAAAATAATAATATAGGAGAGAAGTGGGTGGGGTGTAAAGGAAATAAGATTGGCCAGGCATTAATAATTATTAAAGCGAGGCCAGTGTTGCTCAGTGGTTGAACATGGACCCATGAATCAGGTCACAGTTTAATTCCCAGTGGGGGCACATGCTGGGGTTGTGGGCTTGATCCTCAGTAGGGAGCATACAGGATGCAGCAGATCAATTATTCTCTCTCTTCGCTGATGTTTCTATTCCTCTCTCCCTCTTCCTTCTGCTCTCTGAAATAAATGAAAACATATTTTTTTAAAAAAATAATAATTATTAAAGCTGGTGATGGGTACTTTCACTATTCTTTTCTCTTGACTTGCATATCTGTTTAAAATGTTCCCTAACAGCCCAGCTGGCGTGGCTCAGTGATGAGCTTCAACCTGTGAACCAGGAGTTCACTGTTTGATTCCCGGTAAGGGCACGTGCCCGGGTTGTGGGCTTGATCCCAGTGTGGGGCATGCAGGAGGCAGCCGATCCAGGATTTTCTCTCATCATTGATTTCTATCTCTCTCTCCCTCTCTGAAATCAATAAAAATATACTTTAAAAAATGTTCCATAACAGAAAGGTGTGTGTGTGTGTGTGTGTGTGTGTGTGTGTGTGTGTTTAAGAGGAGGGTTCGGTGATAATAAAGACACTGATGTCAGAGGTTTAGGGTATGATTCGAAAAAATAGTTTCATGAAATCAGAGTGGGAAATTCAATACCTGTAAATTAATCCCTTGTGTGGGGGCAGCTGTAAGTCTTCAGGAATGGAGCGTCTGGGTTAGCCTGTGATCCTGGAGAGGGTTCCTAGTGGGGCATATTACAGAAAGTTATTTTTGGATAGTATAGTACTTTATAAAACTTCCACACATATTAACTTGTTTGTTCCTTTTCACAGATTTGGGAAGTAAATCTTATTATCCCTTTAAATTCAGGCATTCTGATTCAAAGCTGATGCATCCTTCCCCTTCAGCCCCTCCTCACTGCCTCTGCTCTACCCCACCCACAAATCATAGAGAATAAATTCCTGTAAAGGAGGTTTGACTCTCGGTTGCAGTATAATTTAGGGTAATAGCAGTGGCAGCTCTAACAGGGTGGACAGGATATTTTACATCCTCCAGACACACTCTCCACCCTTCTACATTCTTCTCTGTAGAGGAGGCTGACCTTTACCCACCAGGAGCTCCCCAGCTCTTAGCTTCAGGGGAAGTTGACCAATGGAAGGTACCAGGAAGCTGGCTCATGCCTCTGCTGATACAGATACTCTCATCAGGCTCAGGAACGATGCCCTCCCCTTCCCCCCTCAGGCCTAGGAGATGTAATGGCTTCAGCCAAACCCAGCCCTGGGGTACTGCACCTGTCCCTACCTCACCCACACCGTTATAAATAGTCCCTTTATTAAGGTCCCCTCAAGGGCCCCATTTTGAGTGTGTATGCCACCTGTTTGCTCCAGGGCCTTGCTGAGAAAGATAAACCTGCAAATGTCAGAGGCTTAGCCCAATGAAAGGTTATTTCTTGCTCATGTCATAATCCATTGTGTGTGTGTGTGTGTGTGTGTGTGTGTGTGTGTGTGTGTACATGTATACAAACTCTAGGGAGGAAGCAGAGGAAGTGGGTCAGAATATACAGAAGAGAAATTGTGGGTAGAAGGCAGTCTGTCCAGTCAGACTGAGGTGTTTTTTTTTGTTCTGGAAGGCAGAGTGTGCATTGACCTAGGTTGGCAGCTGGCAACACCTCAGAAAGTGACTTTCCAGGTCAATGTGCACTCACTGTAACTGAAGGCTTGCCAATCACCAAGAAATAGGAACCTCTTGTCAGCACTGAGCCATGGAAATGGAAGAGTAATTACCGTAAAGGTGCTAATGCTTGCCCGAAGGAAATAATTTTGATTTCATTACCATTGACTTTAATACACCACTGCCAAGCATAAGGCAATGTACTAGACTTCTGGGAGGTACAAATTTGATTCAGATGTAGGGTCACCCTCAAGATACTTGAAATTTCTTCATATTTAAAATTCATTTTTAAACTAATGCACAGTAAAGTTCATTCTTTTGGGTACACATTTCTACTAGGTTTTTAGTTTTTTTAAATTTGTATTTCTTTGCACATATTTTTATTGAGATATAACTCACATACCATAAAATTCACTATTTTAAGTGTCCAGTTCTGCAGTTTTCAGTATATTCAAAGAGTTATGCAACCCTCACTACTACTGTAAAACATTTTTATCAACCCAATAAAAAGATACCATACCCGTTAGCACTCATTCCCTATTCCCCTTTTCCTCCAGCCTGTGGAAACCACTGATATATTTTCTGTCTCTATGGATTTGCCTACTCCGGACATTTCATATAAGTGGAATCATACAACATGTGCTCCTTTCGGATTTGTTTCACTAACATCTTTCCAAGTTCATCCGTATTATAGCATGTTCAGCACTCCATTCTCGTATGTATACACCACCTTTGTCTATCCATTCACCAGCTGATGGACATTTGGATTGTTTTGACTTTGGAACTATGATGCATGATGCTGCTGTGAACACCCTGGTGCAAGTTTTTGTGTGGAAACATTTTCACTTCTCTTGGGTTGATAAATTTTATTTATTTATTTATTTATTTATTTATTTATTTATTTTTGTAAAGAATTTTTGTGTTTATTTGAGCCAAACTGTCAACAATTGCTGGGAAGCAAAACCTCAACGTGTTGGGATAATGCTCCGGAGAATGGCAGGTTTTTACCTTGTTTTTATAAATTACCATCAAAGGAGGAGCCATAAGTGGGTTACAAGAAATCCATTGGTGATAGATTAGGGAGATCGGAGAAAGCAAAGCGGGGAAACCTCTGGGATTGGATAAAAAGTGAAATGATGCACACATGCTTCTTTTCCATAGGTGGATACAGGATAGTTAACAGTTGACAATTAACATGATAACAATAACAATGGGGGGAATTTGTGGTCTCCAGCCCTGGTGCCATATGTTGTGCCCTAAAGGGTCTTGAAAAAGGAATATTACAAGTTACCCAGACATTTCACAGGTATGCTATCTTAGATGCAGAAAGACAATAGGCTCAGTAAAGATTGAAGTTGATCATTGTCAGGGAAAATAGTGGCCTAGGAAATGACTACCGACTATAAACAGCTTTTAGTTAAATTTTTAATTTCAGACTATCCTTTGTGGTTACTTTAGGTCTTTGAGTTTGCAAAACTGCCATGCAGGCCTTCCCTGAACTAGTCAGGTTAGCATGTGGCCTTTTTTTTCCCCCATCCATGCCTCCACTTGTCTTCATCTCCTTGTTCCCACCCCAATCCACTTGACTACTACCAACACTAACCACCATCATAAATCCTAATTGGTCCACTGCTGGCCCTGTTCATATTCTCACATTGCAGCTGGAATGATCTTTTCAAAACACAGTTCTGATCAGATCAAATTCCCTCCCCATTTGTTCTCAAGAAAAAGATGAAGGGTCTCAGTATGGCCAGTGAGGCCTTGCTTAGTGTGGTCTTAGTGCTTCACACTGTAGCACCCTCTCCCTGAAACCGATGGCTTACTAGGCCACCATGGCCTACTTTCAATCAATCAGGCTTATAATGTTCCTGACAAGATGCCGTTACATAAGATGTTCTGCTTCCTTCAGTTTTTCATCCTTTAGATCTCCATTCCAGAGTGACTGCCTCAAAGAGGCCTTTCCTAAACGTTTTGACCAGGCCAATGAATGACCCCACTGTAAGCCCCGTAGCACTTATCTCTTGCAACTTTCATTTATTTCTCTAAATACATGTGGCTCTCTTAATTAGACCTTTTAGAATTCCTTTGGCTAGAATAGTTTCCTCTCATCTTTTCTGGTGCTCTTGCAATTTCACTTCCTGAGAATCTAGCGCAGTATAATTTTACAATTAGTAGGAAATAGCTCTAATATTTGGACTCAACTAAGCATCACTTTCATTGGCTTTCCCACATAACCTCTGGCTTATTATTTCTGAACCTTTTGAACATTTGTCTCCATCACAGTACTTAGTTTGTTGTTGTTTTCTTGAAGGTTTCTTTCACTACTGTCAGTTGCTTCAGGGCAGCTGTTTTATTTATCTCAGTGTCCTCAGCACTTAACACAAGGTCTTGTCCTCAATATTTAGAAGGACTCTCGCAGCTTGTAGTCCAGCCATATAGTGCACATGTCCTTTTCTCAGCTGGTAACGTCTTCCCTCACTGTGCCTAACACTCTTACCACCTGATAGAAAGGAGGCCGTGGGTACAGTGTTACCTTCAACAATAAAACCTACTTTTCAGTTTCCTCAAAAGGATACCTTAAAAGTTGGTGGGGAGGATTAAAATAATGACTCATACTTCTCTCCCTCTCCTTGCCAGGCCAATTCTCTGCTCTTCCAGAGCAATTACCTAGAGAATTTTGTGGCTGGATTAGGTTTTTGGAATCTCATCCAGCTAACTCTTCTGTTTCCCACTTCCTGTTTCTTTCCCCTTTGTCTCTGATGGCTCAATTAAAACTAGAAAATAAATCCTTAGCAAGCGGAAAACATTCCCTACCTATTCTTTTAGAAAAAGAGATCTTCCTGAGGGGTGATGCAGTATTTGCCTAACAGCACAGGCCTTTAAAAAACAAACAAACCCACATGCTGAAATAGCGAAGGTTGAAAAACAAAATGCTTACTTTCTATATTAAACTAGGCGAACGGCTTTCCTTTTCTTCTGGATTTATCAAGTGCCTGACCCAGCGTACACAACAAGCAAACTTTGGTTCCCTTTCCTTCATCCTGCTACTAGAGATTTTTAGCAGCGAGGACAAGGAACTCCCCAGAGGATTATCTGGTAGCTTCCGAAATAAATTATTCTTACTATGTAGATACCACGTTCAGTTGCCTTTCTTGTTTGCACATTAAAAAAAATTTACACTCTAAAAATCAGCGCCACTTTTTAACCTTAGAACGTGTAACCAATAGAACAATCCCACGCACGTGTGTGAGCACGGGGTCCGAAACACATGCCACAGGCGTAGGTGACACACGACAACAGCTTTTGCTGCGGCTTCTCTACCCTTCTCCGTGCTACCTCGTGTGGTCCAAGTATCTAGTTACTTAGGACTGTCATTCCCATTTGACGGGGAAACTGAATGCTCGCCAGGCAACGTTTCCAAACGGAGGCTGGGAGGCTGGGAGGTTACGTTGTTGGGCCCAGGTGTCAGATGGACCTTTGAAGGGAGTGTTTTTGAGGTTTCAAGAAAGAAAACTCGGCTCATGTTGTTATCTCCATTTTGGAATCAGCCTCACTTGGCATCGGAAGCTCACCACGCACGGGTGAGGTGAGCGTGCAGTTATCAAGTGACTCCTTGACGTCTTGGTGGTAGGAGCCTCAGGCTCTCCTGGCTGTTTTCTCACCGATTTTTTTTTTTGGGGGGGGGGGGAGCTGGTCCCTTCTATGACGTGTAGCACTAACTTGCTCTGCTACCCGCTGGATGACGGCGACCAAGGGGGGACTCTTCAGGGAGGAGAACCTTCCATCCGCACCCACCTCCACCTTCAACCCCACTCCTCGCTCGTGATGGTCCTAGACTCCAATTTCGGGCGTTTTCTTTCTCTGAGGAGATCTGCAGAAAGGGCTTTAGAGGCAGAGGAGGAGGCAGAGGAAGAGGGAGAATTAACCGTACCGGTCAGAGTCAAAATCCATAGCATCCCACCTCCGAGTCGCGACGACCGGCACCCGCTTTGGCTGTGAAGTCACCGGGGGCCGATAAATATAATTTTAAATTGCAGCGTAATATTGCACGTAGCTATAGCATACTACACCGTAAACACACAACCACTTTACTAACATTGGAGATAATTTTTGTTTTTTAAAATTGATTTGAAAGAGAGATTTGTTGTTCCACTTATTTATGCATTCATTGGTTGCTTCTTGCATGTACCCTGACAGGAGATCGAACCCACAACCTTGGTGCATTGGGGATAATGTGCTTAGGCAGGAGGCTTACTGCTCTGTATTCCATCCTGTGAGTGTGGAAAAAGAACTGGGAAAAGATGGCTTGACAAATGAATGCCACATAAGGCTGCAGTCGTCCCCAAATTAAAGCCATCCATGTAACTGCGAGCAGCCTCCTGAGACAACCAGGAGGGGGCAGTGTTTTGCCTTGAGAGGGGACCATTTCTCCACCAGACTCAAGGAACCCTGCACCGAACTGTCCACCAGGGGACAGTGAGGACATGGCTTTGAGGTGTGAGTGCTGCTAAAAGAAGCTTGAGTAGGGAACTGATAACAAAAGCCATTTTGCACCACTGCCATCCTCACAGGACAGGACAAAAGAGAGGGAAGAGCAATAGGGAGCCACACTGCAGTCCTCACCCTACCCCCGCCCCTCCAGAACATTCAATCCCTTCCTCAGACTCGTCCTGGGGTGCAGGTGGGAGCTTGAGGGTGTAAATCCAGGGACACCCTGGCTGGCCAAGGTGAGTGGGTGGTTGGCACTGACCCCAGAGCTGTCTCAGCGGTGCAAAGTGAGACATTTGGTGCTCATCACCTCCGCAAGCCCTCTGACCCACTGCGGCCCTCTCTTCTGCACTCCAGACACCAGCTATGTAGAGGAGGGACTAACAAATATTTCTGAGCACTGACTACGTGCCAGGTCTATTCTAGGTGCTGGAGGAGGATATAGTAGGTCACTGCCGTTGGGGAGCTCAGTTTAGTAATAGTGACAGACAATCAGATAAGTAGACACACGAGTAGATGAGATGATATGAAACTGTGGCAAGTTGCACTGAAAGAAGAAATACCAGGAGGGTGATCTGGGAAGGCCTTTCTGAGGAAGCAGGGCTGGAGACCTGATGGCTAAGGAGGAGGCCATCACACTAAGACCCAGGAGAATGCTTCAACAGAAGGAAGAACGCATTCAAAGGCCCTGAAGCGAGGACGATTCTGGCTGGTTTGAAAACAGAAAGGACACCCGTGTAGCGAGGGAATATATTCACTTCCTACTGCTGCTGTAACAAATTACTACAAATTTAGTGGCTTAAAACAACACAAATTGCCCTGGCTGGTTTGGCTCAGTGGATAGAGCGTCAGCCTGCGGACTAAAAGGTCCTGGGTTCAATTCCAGTCAAGGGCACATGCCTGGGTTGCAGGCTCGATCCCCAGTAGGGGGTGTGCAGGAGGCAGCCGATCGATGATTCTCTCTCATCATTGATGTTTCTCTCTCTCTCCCTCTCCCTTCCTCTCTGAAATCAATAAAAATATATATTTTAAAAACCCACAAATTACCACTTCACACCCATAGGATGGCTACTATGAAAAAAAATTAATGTGTTGATAAGGATATAGAGAAATTGGAATTGTGCATTGTTGGTGAGAATGTAAAATGGTACAGCTGCTCAAAATATTAAAAATAGAAGTATCATATGATCCAGCAATTTTGCTTCTGGATATACACCCAAAAGAATTGAAATCTACGTCTCAAAGGGATATTGTACCCCTATGTTCTCAGCAGCATTATGCACAATAGCTAAGGGGTAGAAGCAACCCAAGTATCCATTGACAGATGAATGGATAAACAAAATGTAATATATCCATACAAGAAAAAATTACACAGCCTTAAAAAGGAAGGACATTTTGACACATGCTACAACATAGATGAGCCTTGAGGACATTATGCTACGTGAAATAAGCCAGTCACAAAAAGACAAATGTTGCATGATTCTTCTTACGTGAGGTACCTAGTCAAAATCTCTATGAACAGAAAGTAGAATGGCAGTTTCCAGGGGCTGGGGGAGTATGGAATTGGAAGTTATTGTTTAATGGGCAGAGTTTCAGTTTTACAGATGAAAAGTTATAGAGATGGGGGGTGGCGCTAGTTGCACAACATTAAATGTACTTAATAGCACTTAACTGTACACTTAAAATGGTTAAAAGGTAAGTGTTATATGTATTTTACCATAATAAAAAGAATTGGGGGAAAAACAACTTTATAATCTTTTGGTTCTGGGGTCAGAAGTCCAGAATGGGCTAACATCAAGGTGTCAGCAGACCTGTTCCTTCTGGAGCTCTAGGGCAGAGGTGGGAGCATCCAGCCCTTGGGCCATATAAGGCCCACAAAATTATTTGGTCTGGCCCTGCAAAGGCATTAGGGGCGAGTTAATTAAATGTCTGACCAAATATAGCAGGCTAATTTTTAAGTTGATAATTTTGTATGGCCCACAAATGATGTTCTAAATATCCAAATGGCCCTTGGCAGAAAAAGGTTCCCCACCCCTGCTAGAGGAAAATCAGATTCCTTGCCTTTTTCAGCTTCTCAAGGTTGCCTCATTCTTTGGCTAGTGGCCCCTGCTTCCATCTTCAAAGCACATAGCTCCAACCTCTGCTTCTATCATATCAGCTTCTCTCCCTCTGACCCTCCTGTCTCCTTAAATGGACACTCAGGATTCCATTGGGCCCACTCAAATAATCCAGGATAATCTTCCCATTTCAAGATTTCTAATTTAATCACATTTGCAAAGTCCCTTTTTGCTACACAGAGGTCCTGGGGATTAGGACATGGACATCTTTGGCAGGGGGGGGGGGGGTGTCGTCATTATTTTGTCTCCCACAGGGCGTGTAGTGACAGAAGATGAGCTGAAGAAGGTTAGAAAGGAATTGTACATTTGGGGTGTCCTATTAATTCTAAATTGTAACAAGAGTACCTTCTAAGTTACTTTTTTTAAAAAAAGCATTCTTTTTAAAAAAATATATTTTATTGATTCCAGAGAGGGAGAGGGAAAGAAATATCAATGACAGAGAATCATTGATCGGCTGCCTCCTGCACGCCCCACACTGGGGATCGAGCTCACAACGCAGGCATGTGCCCTGACCAGGAATCTAAGTAACCATGACCTCCTGGTTCATAGGTCGACACTCAACCACGGAGCCACGCCAACCGGGCTCTAATTTACTTTTTAATAAACTGCCCAGGCTGCTGGGTGAGGAATAGGTTGCAGGTAGAGATTACAGCATTTGCTGACAGATTTGAGCTAGAAATGTCCTCACTGGTGTGCGTGCTCCCTGAGAAGTCACCTGTACCCCAGCCTCAAAGTCTGGCATGTGGAGAACCAGGCACTCTCCAGATAGGAGGAGGATGCCCAGCAGAACTGTAAACAGAGGTGTCTCTGGGTAGCTCGTTTGGGGCTGGAAGTCTCTTTGTGGACCAAGGGCAAAGCAGATAGGATAAAAATGATCTCACAGTCCCATGGTGCCCCATCCCCATGCCCTCCTGCTGAAGGAGGCTCTGTTTTTTCATTCCAGTTCTCCACCCCATGAGTTTGAGGAAGGTCTTTGGGTTTCCTGGAGGCATAATTGGAAAAAAAAATGAGTAGAGGAAGGCAGAATCAGAGAGACAGACAGAATTAGAGACAGGAGACCTCTGGGTGCTCCCTGCATTCGACTTCACAGCCTTTGCTGTAGGATATGTGCAGTCATCACAACTCATTCTGCCAGACCAAATGAGATTACCCTCGACCCTCTGGTAAGTGTATCAACCCTCCACATGCCTTGGTGTTTGTTTACAGAGTCTTAGAACTGAAGATCCAAAAAGATTTTAAAAGGCATCCAGTTCCACCTTCAACCTGATGCTCTTCAACATTCTCATCAAGTCACCAGATGGCCTTTGCTTGCACACACCCGGGAGCCCAGTATTGATCAAAGCAGCTCATTCCATGGATGGACAACCCAAACTGTCAGAAAGTTCTTTCTTAAGCGTGTCTCCCATTGTGTGCCATTTCCACCATTCTGCCTCAGTGCTCCATTCCAGAGAAACCCAGAATAAATCTACCCCCTCTTCTCTAGGAAAGCCCTTCAGACGGATACAGTGGCTCATTCTGGAAGGGAAGTCTCTTTGTTGCCTCTTCCTTTCCCCCTCCCAATCCTGGTCACTGTTTGTTGGACAAGCTCTAGTTTTTCCACATCTTTTTTCAGAATGTGTGTCTAGAAGTAGACCCAGAACTCCTGGAATGGCCTGACTGGCACAGAGGAGATGGGACCACCACCCCCTTCCTCTTTCCACGGCTCAGACTTCAGTTCCAGCAGCCTCAGTTCCCGTCCCCTATGTTTAGCAGCTCCACCACAATCCTGATTCCTGATTTATATCTCACACCCTGTTGAGTAAAACCTTAATTTTCATGCCCACTGCTGTCTCATGAGCAGCATTAGTTTCCATGTACACAGTATTCATTTAAATATGTCCCACTGCTTTATATTTATGTCTGGGAAATTATGCTTCTATTTTAGTACTAAACACAAAAGAATCTCTGGTTCTCTTCCTGATGTTTGAGGGAAACACAGACACGGCTAAAGCTACAGAGAGAGGGCAGAGCAGGGCCTGAGAATGGATCTGAATATCCAGCACAGACTGCGAAGCATTTATTTTTCAGTAGTCTGTGTGGCCTCAAGGCAAATTTACAGACAGGGAGGCAGGGCACGAGAGGGAAATATTATAGGGAAAAGGGCAGAACACTGGAGCCCAGCAAGCCCGGTTCAAATCCCAGTGCTACCATTTCCCACTTGGGACCTTGGGCAAGTTGCCTCAACTTCTAGAGCATCTGTCCTCAGGGAAACAATATTCCAGCGTTCAAC